CTCACCAGGATTTTAATTTGAAACTACTCTTAGTTATTTGCTTCTCAAGGCTCTTCAAGTTCCTGTTCTTTTTCCTTCAGCACAGCAAAGACCTTATGTACATTTATGAGGCACTTGTCAGAAGGAAATCATAATCAACATATGCACAGTATTTGTTGACTATACGTATTTACCAAAAGCCAATTATCACCACATAGCCTAGCATATGCAGGTGTTCAATTTCCTAAATACCGAATTTGAGAGTTTGCCTGGAGATTCTAGTTGTTGAATGCAAATGTTAGCATGTCCTTGAATTTGGTATCATCCTCCTTTTAAAAAGAAAGGTAACCTGATTGCCATTGGAGTGACACTTGAGAGCCCTATACACTACATGGGGACACCTGTGAGCTAGCCAAATAGGTTTGTTCTACTGTGGCTATCAATGGGGCTTGAGCTACTATTACCAGACTGTTCCTTGTATTTACCTAATAAATGTGTGCTCTTTAGGACTGAGGCAGCAAACACAGGAAACAACAGAAGCTGAGAAGCCAGTAGAGCAAACACACTCTTTCCAAGCCTCCCTGAGCCTATAGTTTTTTTCCCCTACTTCTCAGTATTGACTCCCACACAAGACACAGAATAATTTCCTTTAGCTCCTATTCTCCCCTCTTGGTAGTTTGCTTTTAGAGAAAGGGTTGAGGGAAAAGTGGAGGAAGGAAAAATGTACATTTAACAGGCCAGTCAAAACCTTTCTTCTTTTTCATTTCACCTCTTGCCTTGAGTTGCTCAGCCTGTCAAGAACACCAGGCTGAGACAGATAGCTAGTTATGGGTATCAACAGGATCAGAGACTAGATATAATTTTTGCCTAAGACATTAAAAAAAAAAACAACTATTCAGTGATACTCAAAATGGTAAGACTTTGACATTTTATTAAGAAACATCTTTATTTTAAATGATAGTACAAAAATTGTATATATAATATAGATCTATTTAGGTATGTATATATATATACATAAATGCTCATACACACAGACATACAGACTTCCTCATCAGCATCAAACTCTATCCTAAATTTAAAAAAGTAGGATATTTAAGTTTTCCTAAAAACATGCTGTACATAAAGCTGTCAGACAACCTGAAAAACTGAGGACATTGTGAACAGAATGTAGGGGCACTCCTCCCTGCTACCCCCCACCAAGTGGCCTTGGCAGAAGGAAAGCATGTGGGGCAAAGCCAGGAAAGAGTTGCTACCATCATTATTGATAGAGCAACATGCCTGAAACCAACTGGGAAAGCACAGTTAAATAGAGGGTGTGACCTAGATTAATTATCAGAAACAAACTGCATCAGAATAAATAAAATATGTGGTAGGGAGGGGAGTGGAGAGAGAAAAGATAAGGCCCAAGGATTTAAAATGACCTACTAATTAAGTTCTAGAGCCTTAGAAAGACTTAATGAGATAAAAACAATGAATCACAAAAGCAGAAGCAGTAGAGTGGGGGCAGAGGAAGGGAGAGAGAGAGAGAGATAGGGAATCACAATTTCCTGCTATTAACAAACCAAATTGCTACTGTAAGAGTCTAGGAATGTCACTCTAGTCCTAGAGAGGTTAAATTTTTTTTTTTAAAATTAAAAAGGGTTGCACCAGGGGCTCAAAGTTATTTAATTCTAATTCATGCCCTTCTTGTTCCTGCTGTCTTATTAAATAAATTGGCATAGGAAATAAGTACTAACTCAGAAGGGGGAAAGAATCATCACATAAAATGGAGATGGACAGAAGCCTAGAGTACATACGTACAGGTGGGATTGATATGCATTCCATTTTAAAGTACCTTTCCCAGTCATCCAGAGATGGGTCTGGTCAGGAGTGGAAATAGGAAGCCATTCTCTAATAAATTAGGACAAAAACTGATTCCTGGTCATTATTAAACTTCTAGGAGGAGTTCATTACATGCCTCAGGTCTTCTAGCTCTGGAAGTCCCTAATGTTGTTAGGAAAGAGCCACACAAGCTTTCTCAAAATGAAGATCATTTCTCAAAATAAGATTTCTAAACTAGGAAAATGGATGTAGGGAATATCTTCCTTCTGCCATGCTGCCTTGGCTCTCTATCTGGTGAGGTTTTCCCCACTGAGGGATGAGATTTTATAAATGTCAGTCAAAACAGCTTCCACAAGAGCGAAAGGAGGCCTGTCTGGTGAAGGGGCAGCTCCATTTCTGTCCCTACTCAGCTCTGAAACTTTCACATACACGATGTCATCACACTGTCTGCTGAACAAATTCCCTTTAAAGCCAGGCCCTGGCTCTCCCGAAGCCTCACCCCTCTGGTTTCTCTTTTTGCCTGTTAAAGCACATCTCTCAGAAGCAGGCAAAGCAATGCTTTCTCTTCCTCCGTGCATTCATTGAACCCAAAGAAACCCTATGTGTTTAATGAATAAAAAGTTTTCCAGGTTATACCTGGTGCTTTAGAGCAGAACCTCAAATAAACAAAGAGAAAATGGGAAAATACATATTTATAAACACACACTAACGTATACCAGCAAAGGGGTTCAGAAACCATCCTCATCATACAATACCCAACTTCAAATGGAGGGACCTCTGAGAAATTAATTTCTTTTACATTAATATAAAGAAAGAAAAATCATTTTGTATGCAGAGATTTCTAGCATCACAAAGCAAGCAAAAATTTTAATTATGCAATAGTAAGGCTGAAGAAGAAAGAATGCAAAGTAAATAGCTAAATGTATATCTGACAAGAGGGAAAAAAACATCTTTAAGGACTGAGTTCAAAACACAGAAAATCCTAAAGCCATGTTTTTCAGTATTTTAATCAAGGGATCTCAACTCTGGCATTACAATTAAGAGATCCCACAGAGGTAGTAGTGGGAAGCAAAATGCATATTTATATGTTTATAATTAATCTCCCTGAAGCTAGAAACAAGAATTAGTTTTACAATTCTTTTTCTTTCTTTGGGAAAAGGTTTAAGACCAAAATGCAAATGTAGGTTCTAAAATTCTTGACTTTAATACTGATACAATTAAAGCAGCTTCATTTTAATGTAGAGAACTATCCTAAACTCCAAGTTTCTCCTGCTCAAGGACCAACTCTGAACCACCTTACTTCTCAATAATCCAACCTTGCCAGTAAACTAATTGTAATCCCCTAACTCAGAAGACCTAACCCACATTTTCCTAAGTTCCATGACTGACCCAGAAAGATATGAAAAATCCATACATGGTATTGTAGTACTGCATTCAATGCCGAATTTCTAATTACTATAAAGCACCCTGAGCTACCATTCTCTTCATGGCAATATAATTGTAGACCAAATCCTATTTCCCCTCTAGGGCATGCTAAAAGGTCTATTCCAAGTAAATAAAAATTAACACCTTTTTCCTCTCCACCCCTTTACAGACATTTCCCTTCTTTCACTCCCTACTCCAGCCTCTCCAATAAGAAACCCCGTCAGAGATCATCATCATTTAAAATGACCTGTCTGTATTAGAGACTTTGGGAGAGGAGTGGAAGATATATTCCTCAGAAAGAGTAATAAGAATTCCTAAACAGTTCCCTCCGAAAGTGGGACTCTCTATGCTCAGAAAAGAGTGCTAAGTGGATATTCCCTACTACCAATCAGTAAATAGCCCAGAGAACGAAGTAAAGTTTCAATTTAAATTTTTTTTTTTTTTTTTTTTTGCAGTACTTGGAATTGAATCCAGGGGTGCTCTATCACTGAGCTATACCCTCTGACCTTTTAAATTTTTTAATTTTGAGACAGGTTCTTATTAAATTCCCCAGGCTGGCCTCAAACTTGTGATCCCACTGCCTCAGTCTCCCCAGTTGCTGGGATTAAAGATGTGTGCCACCACAACTGACTGGGTTTAGATAATTTTTGCAGCTAACCTCTACTCCCTCAATGGGAGGAACAGCACCAAAACATAAACAAAAGACATCTAAAATGGTACTTGGTCCCTCTATACTTACTTAAGCTAAGGCTCTGAAATGCCATACAGCAGTTTATTGTTAGCACCTGGTTCCCAAAAGGACTCAGAAAAAAAAAGAAAAACACGCAAACAGGACAAGGATGATATGATGGTAGATACTAAAATTTCATCCTTAACTTTACCTAGGCTTCTCCACTTCAAATCCCTGTCATCCCCAACAGCTGAGAATAATCTGTGATCATCTGGGAAGTGCTAGGTACAAAGATACATGGAGAAAACCTAGCTAATGGCCAATACCCAAGGTTAATTTCAAAACTGGTATTTTGCTTATAAATCTAATAGCCAATTCTGTTTTTTAAATTTAGTTTGGGGAATTATATTTTCAGTCTATTTTGAGCTCAAAATGATTCTGCATCTTCAGAACACTGTTGCAATTTACTTTACTAATCAAGGTAAACAGAACCATGTTAACTGTCAAGTTTTTTTCCAAATTAAAAATGCATGTTTTTCCCATGATCACTAATTGAGAAAACCATATTCTAAACAGTCATTCAAATGTTTACTTGGCACATCTCCCTCTGGTTTCTTCTTCTAATTTACAATAAAGCAAGCAAGTCTAGAATAATGAGAGCCCAATTTCAAAGGCAATAACCTCTGCAATGTAACCTCTCCACAACCTCTCCCTCCCTCTTTTCTTCCTCCTTCCCTTTCTCTCTCTCCATCCATACATCCTCTTTTTTTTTTTTTTTTTAATACTGGGGATTGAACTCAGGGGCACTTAGCCACTGAGCCACATCCCAGCCCTATTTTGTATTTTATTAGAGACAGGGTCTCACTGAGTTGCTTAGTGCCTCGCAGTTGCTGAGGCTGGCTTTGAACTTGTGATTCTCCTGTCTCAGCCTCCCAAGCCACTGGGATTATCGGCATGCGCCACCACACCATCCTTTTTCTTTTGAAAAAAAACCTTCATGATGACACACAAAGAAAACCCAGCAATGAAACACTTTCCAAAGTCTCTTGAGTAGTGGGAGCAGGCATAGTGGGAGAAAAGGGAGGAAAGTAAACAAGCCAGAATCTTTGGTTCCGTAATTTATGGCACTGATAGTTATTCCCTTGTCAGCATACACTGAACACCTGTAAGGCACAAAGCTCTGTAGCAGGTCCAGGCTTACAAAAACAGAGCAGTTGACTCATCCTAAATCAAATGGAAACAAACTATACATCATCAGCATTGTTCTTTGCCACCCTCCTTTGTTTTGCACTTAAGAGGACATAAGCTCCACAGAAAAACAAATGTGTCCTAAGTGACACAAATTCAACAAAGTTTTATAAAATTAAAGAGTCTGAGCCTGATATTACATAAATAATGTTTGGAAGCAAGTTGTATGGACAACAGATTACCCTCCTGATTGCAATTTTATAAAATCCAGCCAGTGCAAAGTTAGTATCCCAAGACAAGAGTTCCATAACCCTGCCAGCCTCTTTTAGGCCACCTACCAGCATTCAAAATACAGACTGGGGAATTCAGGTATTATGTAAACTTCTATACATACAAGTTTCCTTTCCAGTTTTTAAAAATTCAATTTCAGTTTCATTCTTTTTTTCTCATCCTTTTTTTGTGGTGCTGGGGATGAATCCAGGACTTGGGGCATGCTAGGGACCTATTCTACCACTGAGCTACATCTATATCCCCAGCAGTTTCAATTTCTTACACTGGCATCTGAGCTATGGACACAAATTTATCAAGCAATTAAAAATTTTTTTTTCTAGTGATATTAACTCAGGATAGATGGGAGTGCCTGCTCCTTTGGAAGTGGAATATATTCCTTTCCTCTTCCCCAAAGCTTGCTTCTAAATTCCCTCCTAATTAGTTTTATAAATTTAAGGCAAATTTTCAGGTCACTTGATGGTATAATTACTAAAGGCTTTTGGTGTATATGCACTAGGAATATTATCTTAAAATCTTTTGATACAAAGTCAGTTATTAAAAAAAAAAATCAACGCACAACATCTATCACCTTTACCTGTATGCTTAAAGCAACAATGTGAGCTAAGAAACTTGGTCCTTATTCTCTCTTGGCTCCCCAGGAGAAGCATTCCCTAAATACAGCTTCGAATTTTCCAGTTGCATACAGTTTTCCTGGGCCCAAGCATTGTACCCTGCTATAGTTTTCTTGTTAAGGACATCCTTAATTTTAATACAATGTTTGTTCTCTGTATTTTCTTCTTAAAAGGTGAACACAGGGCAAGTTGTGGCCCTTATATGTTAAGGTGAAACAGTTTCCATGGAAACTCCAGTATGAGGCTCTGTGGTCCCCCCTGACCTAGACACTTGTGTTTCTCTTTCTTCCACCTCCCCCTCTGTGACTACTACGGCATCTACCTCAGCTACCTCTTCCACCATGGTGAACTCAACTCCATTGGGCTGCTGCTGGGCCATAGCCTCCAGTTTGAGGCGGTACTGTTCTGCTTCCTGCTCTTTCTTTAGGAGCTGGTGTCGATATTCCTGGGCTCTCCGATTGGCCTCCTGGAGTTGCTGCTGTAGTAACTCTCTTTCTCTGCCTTCCTGTAAAGTAAACCATATCACCACCAGGTAAGAATTCCAGATCACAGATTACCAGAAAGTAGACAAAAAGATGAAGAAGGATTCAGGCTTCAATATTACACCTTCTGATTCTTTCCTTTTTCTTCTCTCCATCATGGATAAAAATCACATTACCTTGCCTTCCTCCACACTGTTTGCCATTTCTTCTATCCTTGGTTTCTTTGCCAGTGGCAACTTCTCTACTTCTTCTTCCTCTTCAATTACAGTCTCTTCTGCAACCTGACCAGCAGGTACAGTTAGAACTATAAGCCAAAGAACACCAATTGGAGGGGATGAATACACAGTAAAACAAAGAGGCTTTGCTTGCTTTTTTGTACCAATTTTTTTTTTGTATTGAATATTGAACTCAGGGGTGTTCAACCACTGAGTCACATCCCAGCCCTTTTTATTTTGAGATAGGGTCTCACTAGGTTGCTTACAGCCTCACTAAGTTGTTGAGGCTGTCTTTGAACCTGCAATCAGGCTCCTGCCTCTGCCTCCTGAGAGCCACTGGGATTATAGGTGTGTGCCACCACACCCGGCAGGTTTTGCTTCCTTTTAACTAGAAAATAAAGTGAAATACATTCTTTGACATATTGTTTTTCATATCTCTTTAGATTTAGAATCAAAAGATAAGGCATGGCCCTGCAGAGAAACAGGATTAAGGAAGGACTAAGCAAGGTTCAGGAAGGTATAGATTTTTAAGCCCAGAAACCACACAGGTAAATCCCAGGTTTGAGGCTCTTACATAAAGAGATTTGACTCCAGCAGGGTGCAGTGGCACAGGCCTATAATCCCAGCAGCTCAGGAGGCTGAGGTAAGAGGATCCAAAGTTCAAAGCCAGCTCAGCAACTCAGTGAGTCCCTAGGCATCTAAGTGAGACCTAGTCTCTAAATAAAATATAAAAAAGGGCTGGAGAAGTGCTCAGTGGTTGAACACCCTGGGGTTAAATCTTTGGTAGGAAAAAAAAAAAGATATTTGACTCATAGTAGCTATGACCATCCAGTTTATGATTTCTATGGGAATAATCTGTTAAAGAAGGCCAGGATGCTGGTGGTATAGCTCAGGGATAAAACATACACTCAGTATGCATGAGACCCTGGGTTCAGTCTCCAGAACCATTAAAAATTAAAAAAAAAAAAAGTCAGAAATCCTTATATACAATTATTGAGAAACTTCTTTTTTAAAAAAATATTTATTTTTTAGTTGTAGTTGAACACAATATCTTTATTTTTATGTGGTGCTGAGGATCGAACCCAGGGCCTCGCACATGCTAGGTAAGTGCTCTACCGCTGAGCCAAAATGCCAGCCCCAGAAACTTCTAATGAAAGCAATTCACCATTATACCTAAAATAGTTATTTCTCTTCCCATAGATAAGTGAGAGAAAAGTTGACATGCATAAAACATACAATGCTTTACATACCTATAAGAATGGCTAAAATTAAAAATGCGATAATAACAAATACTAGAGAATGTAGGGAACTAGATTGTTCATAAATTGCTAGCAGGGATGTAAATGTCACACCTAGAAAATAACTAGCAGTTTCTTACAAAACTAAGTATGTACTTACCATATAACCCAACAATTACACTCTTGGGCATTTACTCCCTCAATTTGAGAATTTATGTCTTATAAGAACTCGTATGAGAATTGGGCTTGATGGTAGCATGCTTGTAATCCCAGCTGCTCCAGACGCTGAGACAAAGAATCACAACTTCAACATCAACCTCAACAATTTAGCAGGCTATTCAGTGAGCCCCTGGCTCAAAATAAAAAAATAATAAGGGCTCATCAATGGTAAATTGCCTCTGGGATAAATACCTAGTACCAAGGGGAAAAAAAATCTGTACATGATTACGCATAAAAGCATTATTCTTTGATAGCTGAAAACTGAAAAGTATTTTCAAGTATCCTCAACAGGTAATAATATGGATGTACCACAATATAATAGCATGGGTATACCATAGCAAAGTATGGATGTACCATGATATTTATTGTACTCAGCAATAAAAAGGAATAAACTATTGATACAAACAACATGGATGGATCTTAAAAAAATTAATTATACTGGGAGTAAAAAGGCAATCTCAAAAGGTTATCTACTACATGATTCTATTTATTTAAATGTTGTGTGTGTGTGTGTGACTAGTGATTAAATTCAGGGGCTTGCATCACATATGCTGAGCAAATACTCTATCACTGAGCTGCATCCCCAAGCCAATTTACATAACTTTTTTTTTTTTTTGTGGTGCTAGGGATCAAACCCAGGACCTCATACATGCTAGACAAGCACCTTACTACTGGGTTATATGAGCTATGAGCTATATCCCAAGCCCTATAACTTTTTTTTTTTTTTTGGTAGTGGGTATTGAGTACAGGAGTATTTCACCACTGAGTTATATACCAACCCTTTTTATTTTGAGACAAGGTCTAGATAAGTCACTGAGGGTCTCATTAAGTTGCTGAGGCTGGCCTTGAACTTGCCATTCTCCTGCCTTGGCCTCCCGAGTCCCTAGGATTATAGCTGTTACCACCACATCGGGTTATTGAAAAGACAAAAAATCATAGAGAGAGAACAGATTAGTTAGTGGTTGCTAAGGGTTAGAACAGAATGGGAAGGGAGGTGGCTGTGGATATAAGGGTATCAGAAGGATCCAGTGATGGAACTGTACTGTACCTTCACTCTGGTGGCTCTTGTACAAATCTACACATATATTATAATCTACACATATATTAAAATCACACAGAACTAAGTGCACATACATATACAAGAATGCATGTAAAACTGGAAAGGTTAGTGAATTATAATATCAACTTTCTTGGAGCTGGGGTTATGACTCAGTGATAAAGTCCTCGCCTAGCACGTTCGAGGCCCTGGGTTCAATCCTCAGCACCATATAAAAGTAAATAAAATAAAGGTATTATGTCCATCTATAACTAAAAAATAATTTTAAAAAAATATATCAACGGGGCTGGGGTTGTGGCTCAAGCGGCAGCGCGCTCGCCTAGCGTGCGTGCAACCCGGGTTCAATCCTCAGCACCACATAAAAACAAAGATGTTGTGTCCGCCGAGAACTAAGAGAAAATAAATAAATATTAAAATATCTCTCTCTCTCTGTCCCCCCCGCCCTCTCTTTAAAAAAAAAATATATCAACTTTCTTGTGAAATTATACTATAGTTAGGCAAACTGATACCATTGAAGAGAAACTCATTGAGGATATAGATTTGTCCACAGTATTTTTTAGAATGGTACATGAATCTTATGATGGTTTCAAAATAAAAAGTTATTTTTATTTATTTATTTTTTTTTAAAGAGAGAGAGAGAGAGAGAGAGGGAGAGAATTTTTAATATTTATTTTTTAGTTCTCGGCGGACACAACATCTTTGTTGGTATGTGGTGCTGAGGATCAAACCTGGGCCGCACACATGCCAGGCGAGCTCGCTACCGCTTGAGCCACATCCCCAACCCCAAAAGTTATTTTTAAATAACTTTTATAACTCTAAATAAATTTTTTTGGGGCCAGGTGCATTGGCACATGCCTATCTCAGCGATTTAGGAGGCTGAGGCAAGAGGATTACAACCTCATAGTCAGCCTCAGGAACTTAGCAGGGACCTAAACAATTTAGTAAGACCCTATCTTTTTTTTTTTAATATTTATTTTTTAGTGAACACAATATCTTTATTTATTTATTTATTTATTTTGAGAGAGAGAGAGAGAGAACTTTTTTTTAATATTTATTTTTTAGTTTTCGGTGGACACACATCTTTGTTTGTATGTGGTGCTGAGGATCCAACCCGGGCTGCACGCATGCCAGGCGAGCGCACTACCGCTTGAGCCACATCCCCAGCCTCTAGTAAGACCCTATCTTAAAATAAAATATAAAAAGGACTGGTGATGTCGCTCAGTGACTAGTGAGCAACATGGGTTCAATTGATGAGCTCAATCACTAATACCAAAAAAAAAAATACCACCTTTTTTTTTTTTGGTACTAGACATTGAACTCACGTGTGCTTTACCACTAAGTTACAACCCCAACCTTCTTTATTTAGCTTTTTTTTTTTTTT